AGTCAGAAAGAACTGTGAACATTTATCACTTACAGTGTTACCATAGAGTTCTAGATAATTTTTGCCATTAAACAATATAATCACTTGACTAACCACGGGTCCGGGTAGTCCTTTGGGTACCCGGGGCCTACTCAGTACCGACCCGTAACCCGAGTTACCCGTTCCAGCCCTAATTAAAACTCTAATAGTATAACGACACTGTGCATATCTGTATTCCTTTACACATCTTTATTGACTGACTGAATGCAGCCATCATATATACAGGAACTCTACTGCAGTGGGCAATGCAGGGTCCTGCTTATTGCAACTTAGACATGTGTGGCTGTTGTGAACTTACACAATATGTGACACACTTAGGGCATCACATGAACAGGTGCAAATTAGAAGTTACCTGAAACAGGTTTTTAAGCATAATTATGTTTGAGAAAGATTCTCTGATTGGTCAAGGAAATAGCCAATAGACTTGCCCCAAGGGAGTAAAAGTATATTAACTACCCAAAGAAAACTATCAATACCCAATGTGAATGATAGCATCTAAATACTCAGTGGCAAAAACATATATCCGGAGCCCTGAATTTGATAAAACTGTTGTCTGTTAGTGACTAATGAGTCTCCTGACATGCCTATTATCTCGCATATATATTCAGCCTCGACACACCACCAAGTTTGTCTGTTGTTTAGCGCCACACTCAATATTATTCTAGCTATAAGAAGGCAGCCTATGAATAATCCAGTCTATAAATACAACTTTGTTTGTTTTTCAACACCACACTCAGCAATATTCCACCTATATGACGTCTTTCTGTAAATAATCAAATCTGGACCAGACAATCAAGTGATTGACATCAAGAGCATCGATCTATGCAACTGGGATTTCATCAAAGTGGTACGTCTGAGACCTGCATCACTTTGGGTTTTCTTCACGTTAAACTGACACGCTATGATATAACAGGAATACGGTTGAAAGCAGCGTTAAACTCAACTCACTCACTAGATATTTCCATGTTTTAACTGCTCATGATTTAATACCATATTTTCAATGTCTGTTTGACTTGATAAATGCCACACATAATGCTATACCAAGATAACAGCATGGTTCTATGTAATGTAATCCAAATGTAACATATTATTGAATCATTTGTTGCAATAAATCAGAAGCATTACATCAATTTTACCAAGATAATATCAACATTGCCACCATTAAATATTGACTCAGTGATCCAGGTATATCAGGTATATCAGTGAGTGAGGATCTAACATACATGACATGCCCTTATCATCCATGGCTGATTGACAACGTTTTAGTGGGTGCTATGAACATCATACCTAATCTTAGTGCAACATATATCAGGAAAATGTGGCCTGAGTAAAATACTAAAAAGGCTCTGAAGCTCACCTGAACTTTTCTGGACTATTATCAGAATATTCTACAGGGGTAAGGGACGGTTTATTTATTGTACAGGGGGCAATAGGATTGGACCCTGGACTATATCATATTTTGCCGTAACACCCCATCCCCCAATTTTATGTAACATTGTTTCATATGATATATGTTTCATTGTTACCCTATATAAATTACCAGTCACAAAATATTGTTAGAATTTACAATTTTAAATCTGAGAAAATATAAATTTAAATTTTCTTGCCCCTCCGAGTTTGGGATAATTTTGGAGACCCCCCCTCTTTTGCAGTCATTTCTTCATGACCCACCTCCCAAACCTCTGTTATAATCTCACCAGCCCACCACCCTTCTTATAAGTGTTTGTGCTTAAGATTAAGAAGTAAAAGAAATAACAGAAGTTTCTACTAAACAGACATCATCACAGCATGTACATCTAATTAAAAAAACCGCAGGAAAACTGGATAAATAGGGTTACAGAGTAACATGAAGGTCAAAGGCTTAGCTGGGTCAAGGAATGTATAGTGTCAGATGTATCACAGGCATATCAAGCTTCATAATGACACATAAAACATGGCGGAATAAAGACATTTTCATTATGGCTGCCATAGTGGCCATGTTTACAATAAGCTCAGAATTCTGTAAGACACCATAGCTGGAATAGTTCTTAAAAAGTTTAAGCTTTATAGTCATTGTAGTTACAATGGAAATGTAAAAATTCATGACAGATGGATGACATAAGCCCCTCTGTCTTTCAGAAAGAGGAGCTAAAAATATAATTGGATGTTTGGCCAGAAAAGTGATTCCTTTACCTAGTGATTTGCTTTCTTTACACTTATTTCTTTAGAACTGAACACAATCACAGATACCTCCATTGCAAAGGCATTTAACACTTACTTCCTACATTCTTCACCTACACGGTAATCAGTCATTATTTCAAAGTCAGAAAGTTTGAGTCGGTGTCGTTGGAATTGGTATTTTTTCAGCATTTTCAATCAGAATGTAAGTTAAGTGGTTTGTGTGGTGATGAGACAAGAAAAGATACCAGCACAGATGAAGTTGTTTGTGATGCTGATGGATATTTCTCCACCAAATGCAATTTGGTTACAACGCTCATTCTGGAATCTTCTTGAAATGCAAAATAATAATTTCTTACTATGAATAACATGAAACTTGGAACCTATGCAAATTACATTTGGTTTTATGCTACTTTCAACAGTATTTCAGTCATAACACGGCGTGCCAGCATAATTTGTGTGAGGAAGCCATAAAGTGATTTTGTGAAAGCCATGAGCCAGATATGGTGCTGACTGAACAAAGATTATTATCTCTGGGATTAGAACCCACAATCAGCTGCCCCTGGCATGACAAAGGGACACAACTCTGCACAGTGCTTCAGACAAAATGGCCACCCATCTTGATGAAACAGTATCATATTGTATTATTATCTCATGGTAAATGTTCAAATATTCCATAAAACTAACATCCCTTACATAAAGTAAAAAGTATACTGTGGCAGACAAATATATCTTGGTTCATAAAAGTATCACCAGAGTGAAACTGACAAGCACATGTTTCAAATAGAAATAGAGTTATTTCATTAATACAGACCGAAAACATGTCACTAGCTTTCTTTGAAGACCTCACACAATGATTCAGATGGGTGCCTTTGAATTTTCTTTGCCAGTTTTAATTCAAATCTATTTCCATTAATGCAGCCTTTACGTTGTGGCCACACTGTGCAGATGAAAGTTGGCTTGTTGTGGGCATGTCAGAGACGGAACACACAGATCAGAATAATGGCTCCCAGAGAACATGCTAGTTAGTATGTAGCTTGAAATACATCTAAGTTTTTTCTCCCATCAATTAGCCAATAAATAAAACATATTACCTCCAAGATAAACAGTTAGAAATTCATGACAGAATCAAGAGATTTTGGATTAACAGTGTTTAAGCAAATAAATGGCTGGTACTTATTTGTTTTGAGGTTAATGCTTTGTGTGCCTGATGGTCGTAATAAGGTTCATGCATTGCTTGCAGTAGGGCTAATTGTTTCAGGCTGATTGTTAATTGTTTGAGGTTAACCCTTGATGTGAGCAGTTAATGGTTTAGGCTTAAGTTTGATGTTTGGTAGAGTAGGTAACTGATTGAGGATGAAGTTTGATGTTTGTTAGAGTAGGTAACTGATCTAGACAGAAGTATGATGTTTGTTAGAGCAGGTAACTGATCGAGACAGAAGTTTGATGTTTGTTAGAGTAGGTAACTGATTGAGGATGAAGTCTGATGTTTGTTAGAGCAGGTAACTGATCGAGACAGAAGTTTGATGTTTGTTAGAGTAGGTAACTGATCAAGGCTGGAGTTTGATGTTTGTTCGAGCAGGTAACTGATCGAGACAGAAGTTTGATGTTTGTTAGAGTAGGTAACTGATCGAGACAGAAGTATGATGTTTGTTAGAGCAGGTAACTGATAGAGACAGAAGTTTGATGTTTGTTAGAGTAGGTAACTGATTGAGACAGAAGTATGATGTTTGTAAGAGCAGGTAACTGATCGAGACAGAAGTATGATGTTTGTTAGAGTAGGTAACTGATAGAGACAGAAGTATGATGTTTGTTAGAGCAGGTAACTGATTGAGGCTTAAGTATGATGTTTGTTAGAGTAGGTAACTGATCGAGACAGAAGTATGATGTTTGTTAGAGCAGGTAACTGATCGAGACAGAAGTTTGATGTTTGTTAGAGCAGGTAACTGATCGAGACCGAAGTATGATGTTTGTTAGAGCAGGTTACTGATCGAGACAGAAGTTTAATGTTTGTTAGAGCAGGTAACTGATAGAGACAGAAGTTTGATGTTTGTTAGACTAGGTTTGTATGTTTATTTGTTGTTTAACGCTGCACTCAGCAATATTCCAACTATATGACAGCAGTCTGTAAATAATCGAGTCTGGACCAGACAATCCAGTAATTGACATCATGAGCATGTTAGAGCAGGTAACTGATCAAGGCTGGAGTCTGATGTTTGTCAAAGCAAGGCGTAAAAGGTTCAGTGTTTGTCAGAGTAGTTAATTTATTGATGATGAAATGTTTGTCAGAGGTAGTTATTGTGGAAGGTAGAAGTTGCATGTGCTGGACTGGACCATGTGTAGTCTCCGAGGGCGGTGTGCTAGAGTGGCCATGTGCAGTCTACTCACCTAGGGTGGTCAGACCAAGGCCAGTGTGTGCTAGAGTGCAGTCTACTCACCTAGGGCGGTCAGACCAAGGCCAGTGTGTGCTAGAGTGGCCATGTGCAGTCTACTCACCTAGGGCGGTCAGACCAAGGCCAGTGTGTGCTAGATTGCAGTCTATGCACCTAGGGCGGTCAGACCAAGGCCAGTGTGTGCTAGAGTGCAGTCTATGCACCTAGGGCGGTCAGACCAAGGCCAGTGTGTGCTAGAGTGCAGTCTATGCACCTAGGGCGGTCAGACCAAGGCCAGTGTGTGCTAGAGTGCAGTCTATGCACCTAGGGCGGTCAGACCAAGGCCAGTGTGTGCTAGAGTGCAGTCTATGCACCTAGGGCGGTCAGACAAAGGCCAGTGTGTGCTAGAGTGGCCATGGGCAGTCTACTCACCTAGGGCAGTCAGACCAAGGCCAGTGTGTGCTAGAGAGGCCATGTCCCCATTGCCTGTGTTGGAGAAGGCAGTGAGGTTCTTCTCAGAGTCCTTGTCTATACCCAGCAGCAGCTGCCGGGCCAGGTACATGTTTGAGGCGTTGCGCTCAATACTTTTGACAATCACAGACTGAAATGTAAATGAGAACATTAGTGCTGGGGTGTTAATAATTTTCAAGATGAACCCAACTTATATCAGTTTTTCACCATAGTTCTATCTGATAAGGAAACACAAATCAGCAATAATGACATTTATTACCCTCTTTCCGAGAAGATATTGGGCATTTAATACAAGGGCTACCCCAACATAGCTGTTGGCCAAAATTATCAGAATAGCTCGCAAAAAGATTCATCTCCATACATGAAAAAGTGATGCAATGCAATTACATCCAGTTATTCCCCGGGAAAGGTTCGGCCAATGCCAGTTCTTCCCCATTCTTGCCTCCAACCTATGCCAGTTCTATCTCATCCTGGGCCAGTTCTGGTCATATTTCTCCAGGTCTTCACACATGTATTGCCATGGGGAAAGAGTTTTTTGAGGCGTAGTCTCTCGCCTCATGGATTTCTTAAGGAAAACCCTATTTTATATAATTTTTATGTTTCAATATAAAAGGTTTCGCCCCTAGGGAAGAACTGTCCTAGGCCAAACCTTCCCTGGGGAAGAACTGGCCAGGGGAAGGTTAAGCCTGGTACAGCGGGATTTGAACCCATAATCACAGGTTTCTGGCGTGCCCTAAAGATGCATCTCTACACAGCAAATTGCAGTGCAAGACAACTGGGCCACCAGTGCCGTTGTGCCCATGACACTTTAGTGTCAAAGTAGCGGGATCAGTGAGTGGTCATACACTACAGTCAGCCATGACACAGTCCCTTTAAAGTTGAATCACACCTGAATCAGACAAATCAGAGATTGATAGTGTGCCACCTGTTTTCCTGCTACCTGGGCACAGGCGATAGACTCGATCAGCAAGCTGAGAAATGGTATCATCCTACTCCCATTTGGCATCTTACAGCATGCATGGGGTGCTGAGGATATGTTACTTACAATGTTAGGTTTTTCCATGAATATAAAATTCCATAGAGAAGAGTTCACCCTACTACTGACTATTTTCAGATGAGTTTGCAAAGATACTTGTAAAATCTATTTTAGTAAAACAACTATATGTTGAATATCAAATACACACTTAAGCCTGTCTTTGAAATAATTCTAATGTTTTCTCTCTGCAAGTTCTGACATTCATCATTGAGCTGGGTTTTCTCACACCACTTTTAACAGTATTCCAGTTATATTGGGGTGTGTCAGCTTAATGTGGGAGGAAAGCCCGAAGTGATGCAGGTCTCAGATGTTTACCACTTCAGTGAAACCCATGCGCACAGGTATGGTGCTGACGAACCTAGAAACATAATCAGGCCGAACCAGGATTCGAATCCACAATCATAGGTTTCTGACGTGCCCAAGGATGCAATTCTGCACAGCAAATCGCGGCACCTTGGACGACTGGGCCACCAATGCACCCTCATCATTGAGAGACTAACCCGTTCAGCATTGGTGTTATACATCACTGATTGATATTGATACAGGAAACCCCTGCAAAGTGGTTACGCCACTTTCACCATGGAACAATACGTTCATCACGGATGTTCAAATATAGAGCATGTGCGTGAACACATCACTTAAAAAATATATGTTTATTTAATCAAACAACACCAAGATAAATATTGTTGAAAGAAAGCAAGCTTGGATGAGATAGGATTTTTTCTACATTTGAGATCTTGTGATGAATGAAACTTACAAGTTTCAATCCAAACAAACATTCATACATTTCCCATGTCAGATCCAGGAGCCAAGCTCAGCATCTGCTTGTCAGTTTCATGTGGAAAAAACAGATGGCTTTGCTTTATCATCCAATACAAGATATTACTCACTGACATCAATTTTATCTTTGCTTACATAAAACACTGTGAGATATTAATGACAGTGATGGGTTATATAAACATGTCACAGACATGATGATAAGACGAAATTTCATTAAAAATTGGTTTTCAGATTATGCCAACACTAACATAATGAAAAGTGGTAAAAACTAATCTAAAAGGCACTATTTCTTTAATTGTGCCTAATGGAAACTTGTGTGTTCAAGTAAAACAACATGGTTCAACTACAGGACAAATTAACTGGTCACATGGCAACATATTTAAGTCATGTTGGTGAAGAAACCACAGTAGCAGATCTACAGAAGGTCGCCTCTAGTACGTGTTATCCAAGTGGTTTGGGCTGCGCTATACCACCTGATTTGTCTTAAAACTATTCTGTCCAACACCTGCCTATGATACAGGAGTTTTCATTAATTTTGTTCAATTTCACTGAACATCCTTGGTAACCATTTATTAATAATAATAATTGATACAAAATTTATATTAAAATTGATATGCATTTGGACAAATTAGATATTCAACCAATTTTACACTATATTTCAGACACTTGCTGTGGTGGCCATTTTGATTTTTTTCTAAATATAAAATGCTTACTTCATTGTAAAGAAGACTGAATATCCTTCAAACACTTGAAAGCAATTTGCAGGAAAAGAAGATGGTGCGAAGGATGTACCCTTCACTAAACTATTCTGTGATGTTAGAAGTTTTGCAAATGAAAAGTAATCTTGGATGTAGCCAGGTACATGCACAACATGTTATGGGAATATGATATCCATAGTTCTAAAAAAGAGTCTTCAAGTTCAGTGCTAATTAACAGATGTAATGGATGATAAACGATGTCAAGGTGATCCAAATAAGTAAACTGAAACATATATTTATCACCTACCAACCAGGATTTATCACATTAAAAAATAATGGCTTAAATTCTATTCTACTGTTCAGGAAATATACCATAGTGCGAAACATATAGGGTTTGCCATTTTGAGTGATCTGTTTTAAGAAATCGGTGATTTTGTTTATTTTTGCGCTTTCTGTGTCAGTTATCTAGACTTTAGATTTCTGGTAATTTGCTAGGATTCGGTTGTTGTTTATAAACAATACTACAGCTATTTCACAACAAGAACAAAGGTTTAACAATTTGGGGAACAAATAAGTTGGGGAATCAAACATGGACCCTTGATCATACTTTGGACAAGCCAACATGATACCAACCAGGCTATCAACAAAACTTGCATTATTAAAAAAACTAATGGTTCTAAATTAAGATGTATGGTGAAATCTGAAAAGTTCCCACTTTCAACAACTCTTGACATGTGTTCAGATATGTGCCATGATACTCCATCTTATCAGAGATATATTTCCTTTTTTAATCAACAAATACATTATATATATAATTTTGACAAAGAAAATCAAACCTGGTTGAATAAACAACTTTAATAGGTCTTTTTTTTAACTTCCACATCAACCTAAACAAACTCATGGCAGCATGATTGTGCATCTGTGGTTAAAAGGCACACTGTTGTTCCTCAAGCCAGCCACTTGTCTCCAGCAACACTGACAGGTAATTTAGGCTGTCTCACCACCAAGTTTGAAAAACAGACACACATTCATAACAAAGTTTGGGATGGTTTTTTTCCTTTTTCTGTTAATTTGGAATTTCCTCCTTGTAGTGTATCAACTGATGCCATCAAGATGGCAACTTTTATGACTTTTCTACATGGCTGAGATTCAAGTCCTTATTCTCTGGCAGCCATTTATCCCTTTGAAATACCAACATGGCTGAGATTCAAGTCCTTATTCTCTGGCAGCCATTTATCCCTTTGAAATACCAACATGGTTGAGATTCAAGTCCGTATTCTCTGGCAGCCATTTATCCCTTTGAAATACCAACATGGCTGAGATTCAAGTCCTTATTCTCTGGCAGCCATTTATCCCTTTGAAATACCAACATGGCTGAGATTCAAGTCCGTATTCTCTGGCAGCCATTTATCCCTTTGAAATACCAACATGGCTGAGATTCAAGTCCTTATTCTCTGGCAGCCATTTATCCCTTTGAAATACCAACATGGCTGAGATTCAAGTCCTTATTCTCTGGCAGCCATTTATCCCTTTGAAATACCAACATGGCTGAGATTCAAGTCCGTATTCTCTGGCAGCCATTTATCCCTTTGAAATACCAACATGGCTGAGATTCAAGTCCGTATTCTCTGGCAGCCATTTATCCCTTTGAAATACCAACATGGCTGAGATTCAAGTCCGTATTCTCTGGCAGTCATTTATCCCTTTGAAATACCAACATGGCTGAGATTCAAGTCCTTATTCTCTGGCAGCCATTTATCCCTTTGAAATACCAACATGGCTGAGATTCAAGTCCTTATTCTCTGGCAGCCATTTATCCCTTTGAAATACCAACATGGCTGAGATTCAAGTCCGTATTCTCTGGCAGCCATTTATCCCTTTGAAATACCAACATGGCTGAGATTCAAGTCCTTATTCTCTGGCAGCCATTTATCCCTTTGAAATACCAACATGGCTGAGATTCAAGTCCGTATTCTCTGGCAGCCATTTATCCCTTTGAAATACCAACATGGCTGAGATTCAAGTCCGTATTCTCTGGCAGCCATTTATCCCTTTGAAATACCAACATGGCTGAGATTCAAGTCCTTATTCTCTGGCAGCCATTTATCCCTTTGAAATACCAACATGGCTGAGATTCAAGTCCTTATTCTCTGGCAGCCATTTATCCCTTTGAAATACCAACATGGCTGAGATTCAAGTCCTTATTCTCTGGCAGCCATTTATCCCTTTGAAATACCAACATGGCTGAGATTCAAGTCCGTATTCTCTGGCAGCCATTTATCCCTTTGAAATACCAACATGGCTGAGATTCAAGTCCTTATTCTCTGGCAGCCATTTATCCCTTTGAAATACCAACATGGCTGAGATTCAAGTCCGTATTCTCTGGCAGCCATTTATCCCTTTGAAATACCAACATGGCTGAGATTCAAGTCCGTATTCTCTGGCAGCCATTTATCCCTTTGAAATACCAACATGGCTGAGATTCAAGTCCGTATTCTCTGGCATCCATTTATCCCTTTGAAATACCAACATGGCTGAGATTCAAGTCCTTATTCTCTGGCAGCCATTTATCCCTTTGAAATACCAACATGGCTGAGATTCAAGTCCTTATTCTCTGGCAGTCATTTATCCCTTTGAAATACCAACATGGCTGAGATTCAAGTCCTTATTCTCTGGCAGCCATTTATCCCTTTGAAATACCAACATGGTTGAGATTCAAGTCCTTATTCTCTGGCAGCCATTTATCCCTTTGAAATACCAACATGGCTGAGATTCAAGTCCTTATTCTCTGGCAGCCATTTATCCCTTTGAAATACCAACATGGCTGAGATTCAAGTCCGTATTCTCTGGCAGCCATTTATCCCTTTGAAATACCAACATGGCTGAGATTCAAGTCCGTATTCTCTGGCAGCCATTTATCCCTTTGATATACCAACATGGCTGAGATTCAAGTCCGTATTCTCTGGCAGTCATTTATCCCTTTGAAATACCAACATGGCTGAGATTCAAGTCCTTATTCTCTGGCAGTCATTTATCCCTTTGATATACCAACATGGCTGAGATTCAAGTCCTTATTCTCTGGCAGTCATTTATCCCTTTGATATACCAACATGGCTGAGATTCAAGTCCTTATTCTCTGGCAGTCATTTATCCCTTTGATATACCAACATGGCTGAGATTCAAGTCCTTATTCTCTGGCAGTCATTTATCCCTTTGAAATACCAACAATTTTCACGTTGACTGACAATCTAAGATATCTTACTTTCTATGTAAGAACATGTATACATTCAGGAATTTCTTTCAACTGAATCCTGTAGTTCATCTGGGAATTTTTATAACCATCTTCCTTACTGATTTAGACTTTATCAGATATCACTGCAACTATCATTAACATCTTTGAGTGGCATGTATAATCCAGTGATTGATATTGTGAGCAACAAACCATGCAGTCAGTGTCAGTGTCCGCCATAAGGCAGAGTGTTCAAATGAAAAATCTGTACATCCATTCAGCATAACATCACGCAAAGCTTACAAAACGAAATATTTATCTCCTTAATGACATGCAATCAACCAAGTCACCGAGTCTGACCACCTGATCTATGAAGTCGGCATACTAGGCTGGGACGAGTCCAAATTTACTACCTGGGTACCCACCCCCCTATTACCCGACCCTACCCGGGTACCCACTGTAGGTCTCAGGGGATGTCTCAAAATGTCCGATTGGGAACCTTTTTAGCATAGCCCTGTCAAAATGTATTTAGATACATGTATTAAACAAACTGGTCATGCATATACTGAAGTTGACTTTAGCTATATCTTTATTCAACCATATGAAAAATCAGAAGGAATGGGTGCATAGTCAGAAAGAAATGCTAACATTAGTGACTTGTAGTGTAACCATCGAGTTCTAGATAACTCTTGTCATTAAACAATATATCACATGATTAACTACGGGTCCGGGTAGTCCTGTGTGGGTACCCGGGTCCTACTTAGTACCCAACCAACCCGGGTACCCGAGTTACCCATCCAAGCCCTACAGCATAGGTTGCTGGGGACCAGTTTTAACCTGGAACCCATATTGGGTGAATGTAAGTATGACCAACTACTTAAAAACAATTGTACTGATCAACGTTTCGATGTCGATTCTCCATGTAGACTTCGACATACAAAACTTGCTTGACAATGGTTTCGGAATCAGCACAGCAACATTGCTACAATTGTTTAAAGAAGTTAATGTTCCATACAATGTTATTATTAGTTAACTCAAGTTCAGCTAGAATTTCTGAAAAAAATATTTTCTTAATTATCTTTTCAAAATTCCATATTTTTAAAATGTTATAGCAATTCGTGCCAAGACATGTACAGTATTTTAGAAACTGTTGAGTGTGTAGAGGGACATTTAAGGTTTATCACAGGTCAACTACTTAAATATAATAAAAGGAACAGATGCATAAAACCAGCAGCTGGTCAAAACATCAACTACAAAATCAAAAGGAGAGTAAACATGCCTAACATCACCCTAAACCAAATCAGTTCTTGAAATATTTAATAAAGTGTGTATCATAATGTCTATAACACTGAAATAAATGACAGACATGACTGGTGCACAGGACAAATGCCTTGCTAGAGGTCTGTGTAGCTGTCACCGGTAATGGAATTAACAAGTGTATGTGTAAATGACAAACATAAAAATGACACCTGTTGATAAACTCTGATGATAAAAGAGGTAAGTAAATCATTACACTGATGATAAAATTTTCTTAAAACTTGAATGGATTATTAGGAGCCCATAATCTGTTACTATTATGGCCTAACGTTATTAGCACAAACTTCAAAACTATTACATCATGCTTAACAGCTACTGATAGGTTTGAGATGGTTTTAGATTTTATGAATAATTAATGATAGACTATTAAACATTTAAAAACTAATGTGGGTGTGTGCCACAATCTGATTGGCTGAAAACTGGGGTTAAATTTTAATTGAAGGGGGAAATCTTGATGAAATTAAAAAATCTGATTGAAGTGATTCCCAAATATAAAAAAAACCATGGTTGATAACTTGATGAAATGAATATTATATTCAATATTTCTTCAGTTTGGCAAATGTTTGCCAAATGAAATTCCTTCACTTGAGTTTTCTCTGCATCCTTCTAATATCAATATGACATCATACAAGATAGCCAACTCTGGTATTTACAATGTCATATAAACATCATGTGCTCTCGCATTTAAAGGGCAAGTAAAGCGATTTTGTTGTGAATGTCAATTTTTCTAGATACATTAAGTTAATTTCAGAGAGAGAAAAATTCATAGAAAGTATTAAATGTCCAAGTGAAAATGCTGAAATCACAGTGCAGTGCAGTGCAGTGCAGGGACAAGTGACCCCTCCACATTCATACAGTCTATAGTGTACTAAGGTACAGTACAGAGCAGGAATAAGTTCTCCTCACCTTGCTTGGCTGTTTGGGTTTGGGTTTCACACTGATAAACACATCCAGCTGCTCAGTCAGTTGTTGGACTCGACCTGGAACCACACACAATTCTTTTAAACATATACTTTCATTGCAGTTTCTGTTGTTCATTTAATAATCTTATTCGTTGCTGGATCAATGGACTTCATGACATGCTCAATAAGGTGTGTTAATTTCAAAGCATAATATTAACATTATGTAAGACTGGAGGGGACAGTGTACTTTCTAAAAAATAATAACACAATCCTTATTAAAGACTTCAACATAAAATATAATCTTTTCATACTTTCTTGTTGCCATTTCAGCAATCAAGAGCGGTGACAAGGCGCCTGCAGAATCAAGGTACAAAGGTAAATATATGTCTAGAATCCAACTCATCCAGAACAATGTTCCTGACAATTAAGGCTTAAACAAGCAAGGCAAGAACCTATCTGAATTGATTCTTGAAAATTGTGTTCATGTATCAACAGACTACCCAAAGAAGGTCATCTCCCAGAGATAAAATTGGCTGAATTTGCCAATGGATATCCACGAAACAAGTGATTAATTGTATTGCCGATGTGAACTCGCACAAAGTAGTTTAGGATTTATTCCAAGACCGAAAGCACTCAAAAATCTAAGCATGTAATTATGTGAGAAATTAATGGAATTCACTTAAAATATATAAACATTTTTGTTGTTGTATCGCGATCTTCTCAACAGTATCGCATATTTAACCCAACTCTGATCATAAAACAAACAATGGTGAGATATAATATTCCCATCTCTTGCCTCTCCCTGACAAAAAACCTGCCTCCCTGCACAGTTGATAACATACTAATTACACACTGAAACACAAAGTGGCACACATTAGCCTCTCAACACCAAAACAAACTCACAATTAATTCTTTGTACTAGACAAGCAATAAATCCCCCTATAAACATGCTTGTATCAGCTTTGGCCATTGTGTTTTTTCTCCTGTGGGCAACCTGCCAAGCCCTTCAGGTTATGGGTGGATTTCAAAGCTTTCAAGATAAGATTTCTTGTCTCCACTGTTTAATTGCTGAATCTTTTCCATCCTTCTCAATTAAAATCAAGTCTTTTTACTAACAAGGGTCACCCTCCCAATAATATATCAGTTTGATTCTGTGGTGAAGGTACATTACTTATTATGAGCGATAAGATAACTCTTCCACTTGGGTTGTGGCTGTAGTTTGTGGGACTTCTTTTGTGTAAGATTTGAGGTTTATTTAGTGTAGTAATAATTCAGGCATTACTGACAGAGATGGTTTATTTACTTGTGATAAATAGCGCATGTTTATCCTTGACATTTAATAACATTGCGTGATCTGTATAAATTAATATTAGACGACTCTCTGCATGACTCTCTCTATGAAAACAGGAAATAAGAACTAATATGTAAAAAAATAATCAACATGTATTAATTAATCAATTTAAAAAGTAGATGTTCATGTAGAAGAGATTTTTAACTCCAAGTACAAGAAAGTGGCAATACTTGTCAAGACATTTTACCATGAAAACACATGCAGCAACCATGAACTAAGATTAATTATGTCATGTGAAATTCTGTGACAATCTGGTATGATTTTATGCACTGATATTAAGACCCCAAATACTGCTATCAGTCCATATGGCGTGGGTGATTATTTTTCTCAGTATTCCAATAAAAGAAATTCTTATTATTGATTTGAAATGATTTCCCAATAACAAGCTACAGATGACAGCAGGAGTGATGGAGTGAATGTTGTTTTACGCCACAGGCAGCAATACTCCAGCTAGGTGACCTGTAAGTAATCAGGGCATAGTAGTGGATGACAGCAACACCCACAACATCGGGGTATCAGCCAGGTTTGTCACACATCATGACCACCTGATCCTCATTCTAGTCCTCTTTTTGACAACAGGGATTTATCTAGACCAGTTCAGAGGCTGGTACTTGGCCCCAAGTCAATGTTAGTAAATTACAAATTTCCCAATTCATGTCGTCATAGTTATACCTAATGTTATGGCGTTGTAGTGCTGACTAGTACTTCACTAATAACAGGACCATTAAGGGGGATCAAAAAGGCTTTAGTGCTTACTTTTACACTATTGCATTGAATGCAATATTAAAACATGTCTTTGAGAAAAAGATTTTTAAAAATTATGGGTTTTCACAGTTTGTCAGCCAAGGGCACTTAGAATCCTAGACAAATCCCTGGACAAGCTCGTATACTGGGGACCTATTCTGCCCTGCAATGCCAATTCTGGGCCAGGCATATCACAGTGGATTACATGAACAACAATGCATGCAGCTGGTCATGATGACACAGCCATCAAGGTTGTCCTCAGTGGGAAGCATTTATGGTTTGCATGGTACCAGGGTCTGTATTACCCGCAAACTCCAGTAGGGTTCACAGAACGTTCCTCATACCAACAAAAATGCATTGTTGACTGATTTATATCTACATGTTTGCTTTTTCAATAAACAGCCATGAGCACCAAGTCATGTTGTGCATGTACGCACATACACATAGGCAGCATCAAGGGATCTTAAAGGTATAAGCTCTGACACATGGCCCTCTCTCTTGCAGGAATTGTGCAACAATACAAACAAAATTGCATCATTTCAGTTTAGCCCAGCTTATTTTATTTGTTAAGTTACACTGCACATAGGCGAATTTAGAGTGGGTCCGGACACCCCACTTGAGTGAGTGAGTGAGTTTGGTTTAACTCCGCTTTTAACAGTATTCCAGTTACATTGTGGCGTGTCAGCTTAATGAGGGAGGAAAGCCCAAAGTGATGCAGGTCTCAGACGTTTACCACTTCGGTGAAACCCACGAGCACGGGTATGGTGCTGACAAACCAAGAAACATAATCGGGGCGAACCGGGATTCGAACCCACAATCATAGGTTTCTGGCGTGCCAAAGGGATGCAACTCTGCACAGCGAATCGCGGCGCCTTAGGCAACTGGGCCACCTGTGCCCCCCAACCCCATTTGAAACCAAATGTAGTATGTTGTAGGCAGTAAAATTGACTGAGAGAGGATTTTGATATTTTTGAGCCCTCCTTTTTAAAAATGCTGGATCCATCCTTGCTGCACTCAGCAATGTCCAAGATATATCTGTACCCTGTAAATAATCGAGTCTGAGCAGACAAACCAGTGGTTGATATTGTGAGCAAAGTAGCTATCAGAATACAATCAACAAAGTCACTGAGAGAGATCCCCTGATCCAATTCAGATAACTATTGACACAAGCCATACAGTACTGGCGACCCATTCTAACATGGATAACCTGGCTTTTATCATGTGCCACTGAAACCGAAAAGCACCACAGGGTCATTTGGGTAGCCTAGCGGTCAAAGTGTTTGCTCGTCACGCCGAGGACCTGGGTTTCAATTCCCAGCATGGGTACATTGTGTGAAGCCCACTTCTGGTGTCCCCCATCGTGATATTGCTGGAATATTGCTAAAAGCGGCGTAAAACCATACTTACTCAATCACTCACTCACTCACTCACTCACTAAAGCACCATCACTTTACCATAAGGCCACATAACCATGTTAGACAATTTGGGACATTCTATTTGGTTGTCCAATTTTGTTGATAAATGATGTCTTGATGCGGTCTTGATGCGGGCTTGATACAAATGATGCATATATACATGTACATACCTTGTTCCAAATCTATGTCTTCTTTGACATCGAACATTAGAACTAGGGGGAGACAACCCTGAAAGTAAAAAGATATCAAACCTCAGAGAGATTCAAAATAATGAATTACATCTTTTGTAACAATATAGACAGACAACGGCAGAAAGGGTGAGTCCATCACAGAGTAGGGTAGGACAACACACTAGGGCTGGGACGAGTCCAAATTTACTACTTGGGTACCCAACTCCCTATTGCCCTACCCTACCAGGGTACCCACTCTAGGTCTCAGGAGATGGGTACAAAATGTCCAGTCGGGAATAGTTCGACTGTAGCCCAGGCAAAATGTATTTAGATACACATATAAAAAGATCTGGTCATGCATACACTGAAGTTGACTGAAGCTTTATCCTTATTCCAACATTTGAAAGTCAGAAGGAAAGCATGCATAGTCATAGAAATGCGAACATCAGTGACTTGTAGTGTAACCATGGAGTCCTAGATGTTTTTGTCATTAAACAATATATCACTTGATTAACCACTGGTCTGGGTAGTCCTGTGGGTATGATGAAGGACATTCTGCCTAACGAACCAGTCACCAGTTTTACAAAATAGCACTGGGGCATCTCATGCCCCAAATTCTGATGGTGATCAATTTGAGATCACATGTTGCCTTTATGATTTTACTTTTAATTACTGATTTCTAACATTAATTTCATAACACATTTATTTGGCGAAAAGATTAATTTAACTTACGATGAGTTGTTGTCGAGCTAAGAACACACTTTCAATACTTCCAGTAATGTAGACTGTTCCTTTTCGTTGTGGCGTGGCGGTGTTGGGATCGGGGAAGTGTATACTGGCCCCTGTCCGCTGCATGATCTGCTTTATGTTGACACCTGCGCGGCCGATGATGAACAGGTGGTGCTGCTGGGCAATCTCCAGCTGCATGCTGACAGCCAGGGTGTTCTGGACACGTAAACACACAATCAGAAGCAGACCAATAGACACATAACACAACCCTGAAACAAACATTTGGTGGTTTTACGCCATAATCAGCAATATTACAGCCATATCATTGTGGCCTTATAATAATAGAGAGCAGGCCTGACAAACCAGTGCTTGATATTATATTCATGCATTTAACCAAGTCGCTGAGTAACACGATCCCATGTGGTCGTCTCTTACAATGCAATCGAGTTGTGTGGATCTATTCACTGAGTCAAACGATCCCATGTGGTCGTCTCTTACAATGCAATCGAGTTGTGTGGATCTATTCACTGAGTCAAACGATCCCATGTGGTCATCTCTTACAATGCAATTGAGCTGTGTGGATCTATTCACTGAGTCACACAATCCCATGTGGTCATCTCTTACAATGCAATCGAGTTGTGTGGATCTATTCACTGAGTCACACGATCCCATGTGGTCATCGCTTACAATGCAATCGAGTTGTGTGGATCTATTCACTGAGTCACACAATCCCATGTGGTCATCTCTTACAATGCAATCGAGTTATGTGGACCTATTCACTGAGTCACCCGATCCCATGTGGTCGTCTCTTACAATGCAATCCAGTTGTGTGGATCTATTCACTGAGTCACACAATCCCATGTGGTCATCACTTACAATGCAATCGAGTAGTGTGGATCTATTCACTGAGTCACACAATCCCATGTGGTCGTCTCTTACAATGCAATCGAGTTGTGTCGATCTATTCACTGAGTCGCACAATCCCATGTGGTCATCTCTTACAATGCAATCGAGTTGTGTGCACCTATTCACTGAGTCACACGATCCCATGTGGTCGTCTCTTACAATGCAATTGAGTTGTGTGGATCTATTCACTGAGACACACGATCCCATGTGGTCATCTCTTACAATGCAATCGAGTTGTGTGGATCTATTCACTGAGTCACACAATCCCATGTGGATGTCTCTTACAATGCAATCGAGTTGTGTCGATCTATTCACTGAGTCACACGATCCCATGTGGTCGTCTCTTACAATGCAATCGAGTTGTGTGGATCTATTCACTGAGTCACACAATCCCATGTGGTCGTCTCTTACAATGCAATCAAGTTGTGTGGATCTATTCACTGAGTCACATGATCCCATGTGGTCATCTCTTACAATGCAATCGAGTTGTGTGGATCTATTCACTGAGTCACATGATCCCATGTGGTCATCTCTTACAATGCAATCGAGTTGTGTGGATCTATTCACTGAGACACATGATCCCATGTGGTCATCTCTTACAATGCAATCGAGTTGTGTGGATCTATTCACTGAGTCACACGATCCCATGTGGATGTCTCTTACAATGCAATCGAGTTGTGTGGATCTATTCACTGAGACACACAATCCCATGTGGTCGTCTCTTACAATGCAATCGAGTTGTGTGGATCTATTCACTGAGTCACACGATCACATGTGGTCATCTCTTACAATGCAATCGAGTTGTGTGGATCTATTCACTGAGTCACACAATCCCATGTGGTCATCTCTTACAATGCAATCGAGTTATGTGGACCTATTCACTGAGTCACCCGATCCCATGTGGTCGTCTCTTACAATGCAATCGAGTTGTGTGGATCTATTCACTGAGTCACACGATCCCATGTGGTCATCACTTACAATGCAATCGAGTAGTGTGGATCTATTCACTGAGTCACACAATCCCATGTGGTCGTCTCTTACAATGCAATCGAGTTGTGTCGATCTATTCACTGAGTCGCACAATCCCATGTGGTCATCTCTTACAATGCAATCGAGTTGTGTGCACCTATTCACTGAGTCACACGATCCCATGTGGTCGTCTCTTACAATGCAATCCAGTTGTGTGGATCTATTCACTGAGACACACGATCCCATGTGGTCATCTCTTACAATGCAATCGAGTTGTGTGGATCTATTCACTGAGTCACACAATCCCATGTGGATGTCTCTTACAATGCAATCGAGTTGTGTCGATCTATTCACTGAGTCACACGATCCCATGTGGTCGTCTCTTACAATGCAATCGAGTTGTGTGGATCTATTCACTGAGTCACACAATCCCATGTGGTCGTCTCTTACAATGCAATCGAGTTGTGTGGATCTATTCACTGAGTCACACGATCCCATGTGGTCATCACTTACAATGCAATCGAGTAGTGTGGATCTATTCACTGAGTCACACAATCCCATGTGGTCGTCTCTTACAATGCAATCGAGTTGTGTCGATCTATTCACTGAGTCGCACAATCCCATGTGGTCATCTCTTACAATGCAATCGAGTTGTGTGGACCTATTCACTGAGTCACACGATCCCATGTGGTTGTCTCTTACAATGCAATTGAGTTGTGTGGATCTATTCACTGAGACACACGATCCCATGTGGTCATCTCTTACAATGCAATCGAGTTGTGTGGATCTATTCACTGAGTCACACAATCCCATGTGGATGTCTCTTACAATGCAATCGAGTTGTGTCGATCTATTCACTGAGTCACACGATCCCATGTGGTCGTCTCTTACAATGCAATCGAGTTGTGTGGATCTATTCACTGAGTCACATGATCCCATGTGGTCGTCTCTTACAATGCAATCGAGTTGTGTGGATCTATTCACTGAGTCACACGATCCCATGTGGTCACATGATCCCATGTGGTCGTCTCTTACAATGCAATCGAGTTGTGTGGATCTATTCACTGAGTCACATGATCCCATGTGGTCGTCTCTTACAATGCAATTGAGCTGTGTCGATCTATTCACTGAGTCACACAATCCCACTGTCATCACTTAGGACAAACATTCGAGTTTCGAAGACTTATTCTAGTTCAGGTCAGGGGAAAAACAAATATTTAGAAATGTAAATGAACAATTTGTTGTATTCAGTTTACTCTGCTTAAACCAGAAAACATCATAAAACAGTTAAGATGTAAGGTGTGATACTTTTACATGAATATTGAAAACACAATTAAATAATGTATTATATTTCTATACTAACTTGATGTAAATGCATCATCATTATGACAGACACTAACCCCCCAAAAGACTGTTTTGAGACTGAATTGTCACCTTTTCATTAACACATCCAAGTACTGATCTGAAGTATGGCTTTCACTTTGGACGTGGAAAATTGAGATTCATAGCATAAATTATACATATAAACATTTATCTTCTGGAAATAAATTGAACTGCTAACTCAAACAAAACCATCAAGACCACCAACAGACTAAACATAACTGGATTTCTCTCTCATGGACAAAAACATACGCACAGCACAATTATCTCTTTCTTTCACTGGGTTATTAAGGAGCATACATACCACGTAAAGAATACTCACTTTTATCAAAAACATCAATTTAAGTGCTGGTGTTTGTCATTTTTATGACGTTACAAAAAAGTGTTTAACATATTTAAGAGATATCTCTCATAATAATAAGAGCATGACAGAATTTCAGGAATAAAAGTGTCTGCACCATGGCATTTTGAAAACAGCCTATAAATACACGAACCCAAGAGCGGCGGCAGTCAATCTGATTCGTAACAGATGTGAATCTTTCAAACAAAGCCGCTATTATGAGTTTTTGGGGATGATATTTTTAATGACATCTTTCTATACGTACATTTAATAGGATTTTAAGCTTCAGAGATTGATTAATTTAACTTCAACTTTACCTCTGATGGAATGTTATTCTTGAAAAGAAACTCCATTATCACCAAAGTATGGACACATTACACCCTCCATGCTTCACAGAGGAACAGGAGATGAGACTTATCTCCAAGCAGCTCGCCCAGGAGCTGCTGTTGCTCTTAGCCCTTATCTCAAGTTAATCAACTGGATGCCATGTGTATTTATACAATTACAGATCAAAACATGCCTTCGCTGATTAGGATAATTCTTAAAAGAAAACATATATATATTTCTATGATCTTAGACTCTCCAATTTTCTTTCCTAAAAACAGCAATGGGGGTGGGGGGGGAGCTTGTGCTTAAAGCAAATGCTTGTCATGCCAAAACCCGGGTTTGACTCCCACATAGGTGCAATGTGTGAAGGCCATTTCTGGTGTCCCCTGCCTTGATACTGATGGAATATTGCTGAAAGCGGCATACTCATTCTGTCCTGAGTACGATTCTACAGAGCTATTAGCACTATTCCAACAAATCAAGGCAAGGACACCTTCAATGGCGCAACAACGGCCCTGCAAATGACCCAACAGTTGGTGTCGATGAGCCAAAAAACCCACCAACAACCAGCACCTGGACAAACAACAGTGAAACTTCAGTGAATCTACTCACACATCCAGTCAGCTGTTCCATCAGTTTAGCTGTGGCATCCTTGACAGCCTTGGCATTGTTGACAGAGCCCCTGACGATGACGGTGGTGACGTACATGCGGGGGCGTTGTTTGAGGCTGACCTGTACATTGTAGGTTTGTTGGAGGGACTGGATGGCAGGGGAGGAGGCGTCTGGCAGTGGGTGCAGCATCCCCGACACCGGCAGCTCAAACATAAACACTAGTGGCAGCAACTCCTGTGACAAACAAGACGGTCATCATCAACACAAAAATTGCATCAACACCGATCCAGCATGTGCACTTTGTTTGTTGTTTAACATCGCACTCAGCAATATTACAGCTAAGTGATGGCGGTCTGTAAATAATTGAGTTTGGACCAGACAATCCAGTGACTGACATCATGAGCATCGATCTATTGATATAGAATGACAACTGATATACGATGACATGCATCAACCAAGTCAGCGAGCCTGACCACCCAATCCCAATATACGCCTCTTACGGCAAGCATGGGTTGCTGAAGACCTATTCTAACCCAGATCTTCATGGGTCATGTGCACAAAATCTAGAACATATGGGACAATATTGGTAGAACCTGGCAAATATGGATGACTTTATATGCATGGATGGTCACACACAAGGCTAACTCATGTTATATGACACTTGCCTGTAAAAAAACCCAAGATCAGACAAGCCAGTGATTGGATATGAGTAAGATCCATGTCATTCTGACCATCCGATTCATTTGGTCGCCTCTTGTGACCAGCATAGTTTGCTAGGGGTCAAATCTAACCCGGAATCCCAACAAGGACCGTGACAATACCTACATATGTATGAGGAATGAGGGAGGTGAAATGGGATTCAACAATGTGTTCAAGATTATTGTCCTAGTCAGTTTTATAGCCTACTGAGATATAAATGCCAAAGTTTAACAGAGATACCCTTCTCAGACTCACTGTACTGACTCAGCACCAATCAGTCCTTGTCGTATCCCCTATGCCTAGCGCCAGGCATGATAACAACAAGTACCATCTTTTTACATCGGCTGGTATGATGCAGCCACCTTCCGCTCTCCAGACAGACACTCTATCCATTCAACCACAGAGGCAGTGCATGACTAAGTAAATGAGTCTTGTTGTGTAGCCTGTGCTGCATGTGTGTTCAGGACGGTCAGGTCAGTGGTTCATAGTTCATAGCTAGCCTCTGTGTCACCAGTGGCTTTGATTACTCATTAAAAGTGAGTTCACCTATAACCTGGGGATGCTTGATAGAAGGGCATGTGACTAACACCATACATGATGATCCAAGGATCGTCATCACATCATTCGCTATTACTTGAGATCCCCATAGAAGCATTGTCAGGGTCTGGGCCTGGCCCAGGTGGGGGTGTCACAGAACTCCATCATCTCTACTACTGTGCAAGCATTGTTCAATGGTGATGGGTGATGATGGCACAGACAAAATGCCACCACAAACCTCATTCTTGTCTCATGTCTAATTGTATTAGCCCTGGCATTCACGCTGACAAGGGATGCTTGTGTAAGTCTTAAATGACAGAAAAAAGCTATGACAACTTCCACATGGAAGATATCCAAATTACACTATCTCAGATCAGCAAGAGCTTTTAGAATCCATTAAAATACAGATTTAATAGAAATTATTTCCGGGAGCACATAAACAGTATTTTATCAGGCCACCATATCATCAGAGCACAGTAAATGAAGCCATTAAATGACTGAACCAGATTCTATGAAGGTGATTAATTTAATACATTGTATCCAATAACCAATGAAGAAAAAAGAATGAAGCAACAAAGTTCAGCTGTTTGTAAAGAGGTATTGAGAACCTAATGGAAGAAGAAAACACTGGATTAAATCCTAATCAAAAATGGCTTTGACTTCGAACATGAAACAATCAGTAGAAATGTAGAAATGTAAGCCAGAGTAGTTATAGCCTATCAAGTTGCTACTGGGTCAACATGGGTGAGAGAAAGGGGCAATCCCCAGACCTAAACTGAGGGGAATCCCCCTACTTGCTGTGAGGCTCCAGATGGGGGGCTAGTTGTTCTTGATATTCTTTCTTAATTGCAAGGAGCCTTAAAAAAAAGTGTGTTTATCTTTTCTTTCTTTCTTGTTCTGCTTGTTTTTCAGCAGCAATGTACATCATACTCTACGTCAGTAGTGATTATAGATATAATGGCCATGTTGTCTGATGGTTGTTTGTTGTTTAATGCCGCACTCAGCAATATTCAAGCTATATGACGGTGGTCTGTAAATAATCGAATCTGGACCAGATTATCCAGTGATTGACATCATGAGCATCGATCTACGCAGTTGGGATACGATGACATGTATCAACCTAGTCAGCGAGCCAGATCCACCCGATCCCGTTAGTCTCCTCTGAAGCAAGCTTGTAGCCAATATGACCATGTACATGTGATCAAGTGAGTGAACAGTGTTTTACTGCAACTGGTTTTTGACCAAACTGCAGTAAGTATTTATGAATCGGCTATCATTCATATATAAATCAAACTTCTAATATTATACTACATATATATGTTTTTTTTACAGAAAAAAATGTCCCCATGCAAACATACCCCAGCGTTAGATCCAGTGACGCAAATCATCAGTCATTTACTGGCAGTTATAAATGTACTATAACAGCCCTTACTCATAATGATTGTGATTTTTCTGATCTTGATTACATACAGAATACAGTGTGTGGTGATACAAATAACTGCATAAAATAACAAATAGTAGGTGCAAGATTTGATCTGTTTAATTCCAGTCGTAATGTAGAGTTATGTCCCCTAGGCATGCCAGGAGCTGATATCCTCGATATGCTATGATCATGACCCACTACATGATCACTACACCCATCTCAAGTAATAGATGTCTATGACCTTCATCACTGCAGGCATTCCTCCCACATGAATAACTAAACATAATTGTTACAAACAGCATTAAACCCAATTCACTCACTCATTCACTCACTCACTCACTCACAACAAACAAGCAAAAGTGAGTGAATGAGTTGGGTGTAAAGCCACTTTTAACAGTATTCCAGTTATATCATGGCATGTCAGCTTAATGAGGATGGAGAGCCCAAAGTGATGCAGGTCTCAAACGTTTACCACTTCGGTGAAACCCACAAGCACAGGTATGGCGCTGACAAACCTTGAAACATAATCGGGGTGAACTGAGATTCGAAAATACACAATTATAGGTTTCTGGCGTGCCCAAGGGACACAACTCTGCACAGCGAATTGGGGCGCCTTAGATAACTGGGCCACCCATGCCACCAACAAACCAAAGATTCATTCTGACCTTTTAGCAACATATTGAATTTACTGCTAACAAAGGACAATACAGTCAAGTCTCGTTAATCCGACACTCATTTATTCGACACAAATCATGAGATTTAATCAGTTCAATTTAGACCCGTTAATCCGACAGTCTCGCACTCTGACTCCGACACACCTAATTTGCATCGAATTGCTGAAATCACTCATCAATCAGTCTCGTTAATCCGACACGGTGATCAGCGTACTCCGTGGTCATCTGCCCGTGAGTACACAGCCCCGTGTTTTGATGGGAGACGAGTCGGCGAGAAGCTGAATATTTCAACGGCTGTAGTGGTTAAACTTTAGTGGTTGCATGATTAGAAAACATATTCCGCTGACAATATGAATATTTCATTTTTCATTTTTCAACGTTTCGTGTCGTTATCTATCGTGTAGTTGTCCAATTTTCGATCACGACCGTATATACTACCTAATTCCTTTATCCGACATACTCGTTAATCGGACATAATCATATATGCAACCAACACTTTTGACTCCATAACATCTGACGATGATTAACATACAACCATAAACATGTTTCTTTCTATGTAAAAAATGATATACATGCTGCAAATAAATGCCTGATGTACTTACAAAAGATTGACTATATGTTATTGTCCTTCATCCACTTGTCAATGTCATCCAAACATATTTGCTGGTAATGCCTCATACTAGACTGGCATTAAGTCCCAGAAATAAAGTTCTATTTTTAAACAATTTACACTCCACTACATATAAAATACAATCCAAAAGGAGCCCACAACAATCCTTCGTTTCAGTCCTAGAGCCGAGGCAATCTAGACTTGCCAAATCATTCTAGACTTGAGTTGGACTCCTTTTTTAATATATTCTCTGGGGTCTGGTAGCTCGTACCTATAGTCTCAAGCAGCCATACTGTTAATTACAGCAATAAGCCCATGTCGATTTACCCTGGTTCTACTTGGGGCTGACATGGCAGGTCCCCCCCCCCCCCACCCCCCACTCCCAACACACACATACTGATGTTGTCACAAGCAATTGTCAGGAGCAGCAGGAACACTGGCAACCAGACATGACAAATTGGCCAGTTGGAAATCATGCAGTGCTCCACGTGATCAACTCCAAGTTTTATCAACTTGGATGTTTTTGGGGAAAATCCAAATCATTATACACTTCTTGAGCGGCTGTGTACAAAAACACTTGAGTGTATACGGCTATTAGCAGCTCCCAAGTGCAATGTCTGTCAGAATTTTGAAAGTGGTCCAATTATAATGATATTTGGTTAACCCTATGGGTGTTTTATATATCAAAGTTCAAAAACCAAAAAAGAATTATCTGACTATCATGAAAGATTTGAATTCTGTGATAACATCAACTGAGAGTATGAGTATGCCCATGCTGTAGCTGCTACAAATAAGTCCAGACTTTTACCACTATTATAATGCTAGCCCACTGAGATACCTTACTGCAGTTTAACATGGATACTCAGAATATACTGATTCCGAGCTGACCACCAGTCCTTGGTTTTCTTCCCTTTACTGTTGTGTGCCAGGCCAGGTAACAACATGCACAATCTTTTAACATATGATGACAATTAAGAGGTGTTGGAAGCTAGTATGCTGACAATTAAGAGGTGTTGGAAGCTAGTATGCTGACAATTAAGAGGTGTTGGAAGCAAGTATGCTGACAATTTAGCTGAACTGAAAGCTAGCATGTTGACAATTTAACTGTTTTGAAAGTTAGTATGTTGACAATTTAACTGTTTAGAAAGTTAGTATGCTGACAATTTAGCTGAATTGAAAGCTAGCATGTTGACAATTTAGCTGAACTGAAAGTTAGCATGTTGACAATTTAACTGTTTAGAAAGTTAGTATGCTGACAATTTAGCTGAACTGAAAGCTAGCATGTTGACAA